TTCGGACCTTCTTTGGAGGTGCCGTGGGGGGGTGGGTATCTTCCTCACGCGGTCTGCTTGGCGATGAGACTGCTGACGGGCCGTGTGAGCCGCTGTGCTGCCTGCTAACGCTCCCCTTCTTCGCAGTTTCCTAGGTTTGTCCATGATGAGACACAGCAGTAACGCTTAGCGATGGGTGACGTTTTAGCTTATGAAGCCGAGTTGCTTGGACTAGTGAGAGAGGTTGGTTTTCTCTCTTTTTTGCCTTTTTTTTTTTTTTTTGAAGTTGCAGTGAGCAAGGTGTAACTTCATGATGCTTGTATTCGGAGCCGGGCATTGCAACTGTGATCTGAATTCTGGGGTTATTTCACTGGTCAAGTGTTTGCTGTATCCTGAGATTGTGCTGACTCCTGTCCTGCTTAGTAGGTTCAAAGGGCTCAATGTCCATTAAATGCCAGCTGTCAAACATCACATCAATCTAGAATTATCTGTTGTTCATTGCAAATGAGGCTTTCATGAACAGAACAGTTAAGTAGATTAGATCCATAGACAGCTTTGGGGCTCAGGTCCAAGCTATGGTAACAGTGAGATCTTTAAAATATCGCTTAGCTGCTACCTCATTCCATACGTATATAAAATCATGAGGCATGTGAAAACGCTAGAGCTGACAAAGCCCAGGCTGAAGTCCTGAGACCTCTGATCTCCATGGTTCAATGTCTAAGCAGGATTTTCCAGCTAGGCACTCCTCTGTGCATATTGCTCGTAAGAGGTAATCAGAAGATATTCTAAAGTGTGAAATTGTCCCCTGAAAAAGACAGCAAGAGACGAAGTTTCGAGGGCAGGTACCTCTCTGGTAGTCTGTGCTTCAGTCTTCTGGATAAGTTGGCTAAAATGGGATGTTTATGATTTGGAACAAGAATACAAACTCTGATCTCTGCTGCTTGTTACTGCCTCATCCCTTTGATCAACACTGAGTTGGTAGCATAGTTTAGGGCCCTCAGTGAACACCAAACTAACAGCCTAACCCCCCCTGCCTTGTGTGACCCAACCTATTGCAGGGTTCCACAGCTGCCGGTGCTGCGGAGGGGCGATCAGCAGCGGCAGGCCGCCATCCCTGTGCCCCGCTTTCCCTACACAACTTAAAATCTTTCTGTGTATCTCGGAAAACAAATCTAAAAAGAGGTTAAAGTACTTAATCATTACTATACTACTGTTGATGTTAACAGTGAAGAAAGTAAACAATTCTTGCTCTCTGTGGCGATGCTTGGCATCCAGATCAAGTCTATAAAATGAAACGGGATGTCTTGCTTCAGCAACCAATAACTAAGACTCCTGAGATGGGAGAGGAGGAGAAAGTTGTGTGTAATATTGTGACTACGTTGTGGGAGGAAGAGGCAGGGCTGTTTATTTCTTTCTCAGAAGAATAGTGCTTGATTAGGTGTTCGTTAATTTGGGTTGCACAGCTTCAGATGAGTGACCTGGCTTAGAATTCAAGCTGTCTGACTGCTGCTGTGGAGACGAGCATCACACTTAAGAATTCTGTCCTCTGAGAACATTAGTTGCAAGGAATTTATTTACTTGTTTCTTCAACCGACATATAGCATTAATGGATTTTAGTTCTTTTTCTTCTTTGGTTAAATGAAATTACTGGCTAAATTGAGGGGCGTCATTCTTGCAGAGAGGATGTGCTCAGTTGTCAGTACTGTTGTCTAGGATGAAGCAGGAAATTTAGTTGAGAGACAGTATTTTCTTACCACGAGGTACCAGTTCTTGGTTTATTGCTGCACAGTCTTTGGCATTTATGGACCCTGCTACAGAGAAACTTTAAAGGACTTTGGTGATCTCTGAGTCACTCACTGAAGGATTAATAATCTAAAAAAAATATTGTTCTTGTATGTTTTTGTCTTGCAGTACTTGGATTTTGCTGAATTTGAAGAAACAGTGAAAGTATTTACAAAGGAATGTAAAATAAAAGGGAAACCATTACCTAAAGCAGCAGGTGTCTCTTCAAGAGATTCAAAAGCTTTGCCTGTTCAGGTAATGCATTGTTTACACTTACTTTGAGTAATACTAAAACCAGTTAAAGGCCACTAACCATCGTGTAAATTATTACAGCAGTGAGATTATCTGAACTGTCTGAACAGATCCTTGATTATTTGAAGAAGTCTGCTAGCAGTCTTCTTTCAGTACAGGAACCTTCAAGTTTGGTTTTTTATTTGCAGAACTCTAGTCCTTTTGAATGTGAGACGGTAGTTTTGGTTCACGCTGTTATAGGTTTGTAGCTTGCCGCACTTTGGTAAGACTGATTTTCACACACTGTAGGCATTTATTTTTCTCTTGTGGTAAAGATGGATCCCCAGATGGACGTGCTTGAAAATTAGGACTTTGCTTCTTGTATTAAAGGTAGATGGAGAAAGAATATTTAGGTGGTCATTGGATAGTGAGAGATCTTGGATAAAACTTTTTAATTCCAAGTGTTCAGATGGCACTTGAATTCTTCGTTCACTAACCTGCTGTTGAAAAAATGCATCTCTTCTGTGTTTGATTTTTCACTGAATGCTTTTCCCCTTTGCAGAAGGATCTGCTTACAGCATTTGAAAATGGTGAGCAGAAAGTTTTCTTCCAACTCTGGGAGGAGCATATTTCGTTTTCAGTCCGGGACAATGAACCGGTTGCTCAGAAGCTGGAGTTCTATCTTCACGTACACTTTGCCACATACCTCTTAAAACACTCTGTGGGAAAGCCTGTAAGTTTAGTTCACAGTTCATATTTCAAATTGCTTTTATTTGTTTTACTTCATTTATTTGTCTTTAGTGTGGAGAAGGATGGGATGTTTAGTAAGAAGAATTCCCAGAATATGTATCCAGTTTTTGGGCCACACTCTCCGTTTTAGTTGAACCAGACACCTTGTGTTGTGAAGTACAGAGATGGAATTTGGAGGTGTCCTTATCTCGGAGCTCCTGAAATATTTTAATTTGGAAAATACCAGCACGATGATACTTTCGCACCTCTAAGTATAGTCTGTAGGAGATTCTTAAAACACTTATTTTGCTTCTGGTTTGGACTGAAGCTATGTTGTTGAAATATAAACATTTCTGATAAAATGGGAAAGCGGAATCTTGGCCAGCTTAGTATATCATACTGAAAACAATAATTCCAAGCTGTGATAAAATATCTGTTATATGGGACTTTTATGACAAAGGGACATTTAAGTAGCCTGGAGCCAGCCACATCAGCCAGGGCTTAATAGGTCCTGCCCTACACCTGCCAGCTGCTACAGGAGCGTTTGGATGCCTTCAGTGTGTTTTGTAACCTCTAAGGAGCTTCTGGTCTGTTCTGCATGCCAGCTCCCTTTCCTCGTGCTGTGTTGAGTGGATGTTACATTTCTGCACTTATCACTGAAATAAAGTGTGTCTAAAGTAGGTGTTTCCTCTCTGCCCTGAGTGTGGAAGTGGCACGCTGCTTTAGAGGTCTAGCCTGAAGTGGCCAGGAATAACTTACATTCAAAAAGCGATTGTTCCTCTCTTCTTTTGTTCGACCTGGGTGACACAAATAACAACATGGGTTTAAATTTTCTCTTTTGAATGGTGAAAAGAAGATAAAGTGCTCTGTAGTTAAATATGTGTTGTTTTTTAGATAACAAACGTTCTGGGATTTCAAGCTTGATGTTAATGTATTTAGGTCTTTGCTTTTACTTTCCAGCTTTACAGTACATTCAGAGTGGTAGTTTTCTAAATAAATATGCTGCTTTATTTCCTAGGACAAAGCTGAACTTGAGGAAAGGATTTCTCATTTTAAAGCATACTTGGAAACAAAAGGAGCTGCACTGAGTCAGACTACAGAGTTTCTTCCCTTCTATGCTTTGCCTTTTGTTCCAAACCCCATAGTCCATCCTTCATTTAAAGAACTTTTCCAGGTAAGTATCTATTTTGCAGAGGTGATGTTTATGATGATTTTTCTCATGGGGTGATAGATATTGATTGATGTTTAGTTTGGTAATTACTTTTATTGTTTCCTTTAACAGAAACTGTGCAGTCAAAAAAGAACATATATTTGACGGAGGAAGGGTTGTGAGCGTGCTATCAATAGCAGAGTACCATCTTAAATGTATTTTATATTTTCTTGAGTCCTAAATGGTACACTGGCTTTGTGTCCATGAATAAGAATTGCTACCTTTCCTTCCTTTCCACACAACCCTGAAACACGCATGCTTCTGGGAGTCGCTATGTAGTAGTTCAAGGCCACTTATTTGCTTTGAGGTTGTTGCCCAACCCCACTATCTGTGTACGTATAGCTGGACTTAAAGCATGATAGCTAGGCGTAAGAAGACTGAAGTAGTTTCATGTAATGTGGAAAAGAGAAAGTCAAGTTTATAAGTAATCCTCCTGTATCCTTCCCAAAAAATGCTGGAAGAGCATAGCGTTGCTTAGCGGTTTGGTGACTCTTGCCATAGGCGTTTTTCCTGGTTAATTTTTTTGTTAAATGTGTTTTATTCCTTGCCTTTGGGTGTCTGTTTCCGAGTTCAGTTCTTAGGCTGGCATGTGCAAGGTGAGAAGAGAGTGTAAAAGTATGCTTGCTTCAAAATAGAGCTCATTTGCAGGTGCACTTTCAGTGTGATGATGGTCTACAGTTACTCTGTTGATGGAGCGGTAGGAAAACACTCTTACATTGACTGCTTGCTGGGCACTATGCGGGTTGATGGCTAGGAGATGATGTCCAGAGCTGTGGTTTGACCTTCCAAAGTATTGGTGGCAATAACAGTGGGGAAGTTACAGCCACTATTTCACCTGCTGACGGCTTGTTCCTGCGGTGCAAAGTTGCGCCTTAACTTCTTGGTTATGCTGGAAATGGCTGGTTGTGTCGTTGCACTTGGACTGGATCAAGGAACTGATCTGCTTTATTGCCTGTGAATGTGTGTGTATACGGCTCCCATGTACACACAGACGTACACATATTTGTTTGTAAAATATATGTAATATTTTGCAGGGTTATGTGCTTGAAATGCTTCACCATCCTACCTCATGGACAGTTGTGCTGGCTTACCTAAGCAGCTGTGGACAGTTATTGTGGTGGGAGGAAGTATCTTCAGCCTGCATTGCTGCCACACACTTTTTGATATCAAATCAAAGCTGAAGTGGTACTTGCCCTAGGGCTGACTTTGGATGTGCCAGCTGATGAGGAGCTCCAGTTTAACACCAAAAAAAGGCATATACTGCCATTTTCCTTTGGGACTAGCTATAAATAATGAGATGTACTGGTGACCTCAGAGATGAGTTATGACTACTCTTTTTTTAATTATACTTAACAGCATTTTTTGTTTTTTAATGCCTTATCTAAGATGAGTTCCTCAGATTTATTCGTAGTAACCCAGTGTCCAAGCTCTTAGTCCACAGTCACTCATATTTTCTTGTGGGAATTGTACAGCTCATTCCGTGTTAGTGTTGAAACACAGATTGGTTTACTTTTGAGAAAAAACAGCAGTGAGTCACTAGTCTACTAAGCAGCCTTATTACAGCATTTTTCTTTTCTCGGGCATCTGATGCTTTATATAGCTGGAGTTCCTGTCTGTTTGTGTAATACATCTTGAAAAATAATACACACTCCTCTCCGTAGGAGACATGGTTTCTTTGATAATATACAGCATGCTGTGGTGCACCACTGGCTGGATACTGAATTGGTAAATGCAGCAAGTAAATTCTGTACACTGTCCAGCATGGTGAAATAAGGGCAAATCTGAGCTGTGAGAACAGCTTGCAACATACACATATACAGCAGTAAATTTAGGAAGCTCCTGCTACTTTTTGGAAGATTCTACTTTTTCATCTGTTGGCTAGCTTTTTGTCAAGCTGAAAGTAGCTTAACTGAAGGTTTGAAATAGAAGTGAGTATTCAGTGAATTCTTAGGTGTAGTTTGGCTTTTTTAGTTAAATATTATTTTCTTGTGTGTATGAGGCACTATGTCAGACAGAAGACAGCATTCCAGTTAGTGGCTGATACTTTGATCCATTTTTTGTACATGAGTTGTTTTTCTCAAAATCCGTATTTTAGAAATGCTGTACCCTGGTCACTGATGTCATGTTGTGACGCTTGCAATAGTTATTGACAAAATTTACAGTTCCCAGATCTTGTTAGGAGTGAAAGATGATGACCATGATTACTTTGAAAACTGAGTAATGGAAAATTATTCATTTTGAGCTCTATTTAATTGATTTAAAATTCATATTAATCTTTTTAACTTTTTCTGAAGGTGTTTATATTTTAAATGTACTTCTAATTTGGCAGCACCAACACTATATGATAGTTTTACACTTGAAATAAAGCTACATTGTGTTGTTAGAACTCTTGTCTAGGGATAATCCTGAACTCTCTTCTAACTTCTGTACGCTTTTATGGGTAGCTAGCAAACACATTCACGTCAGTAACAGTGAAGGGAAAAACTTTTCAATACAGTGCTGGCTGCCTTGTTTACTAGTGGAAGGTTGCTGTGATCCGAACAGTGCTTTCAGCAGAGTGTACATATTTGGTGAACAACTGTCATCATTTGTTTTTCTTTTCAAGGATTCTTGGACATTGGATTTAAGGACAAGACTGGAAAAGTTCCTGTCTCTGACTCTCAAAGCCAGACAGACTCCCCGGCTTCTCACTTTATTTGTATCCTTTTGAGAAAACACTTTGAAGATAATTGGAAATATTATGGAAGAGCGTGCTGTTAAGATTTATTGCAGAATCACAGTAACATTGCTGTTCAGTGCTTTTATATTTATAACCTGCATTCAAAAAAACCTTTTGAAAAAGTTATGTAAAGACAATGCATAGATGCATATGAACCTGTATATTTATCATATGACCATTCTTTGCTTCCATGTATGAGGTACAGCATACTCAAGGCACCGACCTGACCTGACTTCTTTCTTAACATTTCTAAAGCTGTTAGTCTTTTCAATTAGCTATTTCAGGAACTGGCTGAAAGTTTTCCAGGGTTCCAGAAATTACTGTTTTATTAAATGGCTTGTGCTTCAGACTGTATTGTTTTTCTAACAATATTGTTTAAGCTATGTTGTCAAGCCTAATATGCAAACTAACTAGCTATATGACAAATTGTCTTCTCCATTTTTGGTCAATACAGTTAAAGGCAAGGTATATAGAACTGAACTGCATTCTATGTTTCTGGCCTTTTTTTGCCTTTTTTTAAAAAAAACAAAACACCAAACAAACAAACAGGAGAAGTTGAAAGTCCTTTTCCTGCTGTATCTTACTTCATTCTAAAGCAGCGTGTTGCCATGGTGGTATTCGATGATGAGCTGGAAGTTATTTCCTTCTGTTCCATTCCTACCCATTTTCCAGGATGGAGAGCAGTGATCAAAACACTGCTTTCACTCCCATGTTACAGATGTTTTTGTGGGAGTCTGGCACAGAACAACTGAAGAATATTTTCTCTCTGCTTATTCCTCTTAACGGAGTAATGTACTGCATCCTGATTGAGCTCTGAATATTTCTTAGGTATTAAACCTGACTTACCCTGAACCACTTGCATATTTGTATGTTGATTTTCTGTAAAATCAGAGGTTTGACTTTAGATTTTGATGTTGATACATTTAGACTGGAGTTACAATATCTTGTACTTCAGGGCTGGATCTAGTATCTTTAAAGGTCAGCAAGAAGTTTCAAGTCTCTGTGCAACATTGTACATTGTGCACTTACAAGATTTTTAGGTTTTTTTTTTATTGATTTATTTATTCTTGCTCTCCTGTGAAGCATCAGGCATTGTCTGTTGCCTGGAACAGTAGAAATATTTGGCTTGGTTGGGTTTGCTAGTTGGTTTCTCATTCTGTATCTCCGGAACAAACACGTACTGAAAGGATGCACATTTTCCTGAACTGCTCCGACTTGTACAACAGAAGGAGAATGGACAGTGCAACAAAGGTAAACGCTGAGATGTGGTAAGGATGTTCTGTAAGATTATTGGGGGTTATAACAGTAGTGGAAGGTATGCCTGCAATGATGGGAAAACTAGTGATGTGTGGCAAAAAGTCCTTTGAAATCTAGACCCGTGTCTTGGTGACCGTAATTGCTAGACTGCTTGAGGTCAGTAGGGTTGAGCATAGGCATATACTAGAAATGGCAGAGGGCCTAGTAGTAGGATTTGTATTTTAAGTATATTCTGTCCTAAAATATGGTATAAACAAATGCAGAACTCTGTACAAAGTGCATACCAGGTCTGCACTTTGTACAGTGCACTTTGCACTAACATTTAGTTATAATGAAAGTAAATGTGCTCAGATCCTTTTCCCATACCTGCTTATGCCTAGCTGTATCTTCCAGACTTCGAATATTATTCAGTTATTCTGATGATCTTAGACAAAGTTCATTTTTGTTCCTATTCAGTCATCCTGTTTAAACTCCTAAAATAGTACATATTGGTATCTCCAGAATAAGAATGTGTCAATTTAAGTAGGACTCGCTAATGTGTTGCATTTTGAGGTAAGCTGTTCTTACCTACTGAAGTGTGTAAGTGAATTGGGGTCCTTTAAAACATAATAATTTCAACACTGAATCCCATTAGATGCTGGTGGCACTGGAAGTATACACTGTTTAAAAATCAGTTCAATAAATAGAACTTAGGTTCCCAACTACCTCGCATTCATTTTTTCACTTGACTTTCTGTGTTCACTTTATCAGCTGGGTTCCTAAAATGACTTTTCCTCGAGTTGTCTTCTGACAGCTGTCTGTACTTGAGTCAGCTACATGTCCATGGTGAAAGCTTCCTACTCTTTCAGTAAGAGAAACTTTCATGAAATACTTTTCCTTTTTTAGTAAAATTACTTTGTGTGAGAAGATAATGATATAAAAAATGCAAGATATGTCAAGACTCTGTGATTTCTCTCTTTCACTCCCTATTCTCATTAAAGACCAGTGTTTGTAGCTGATAATCCCTGGATTTAATAGGCAAGGGGTAAATTAGACCCTGTTTCTTAATTGCCAAGACTAGAGTTCCTGAG